TGATTTAATTTATATAAATAATTTTGTATAATTAAAGAAATAAAAAGAGAGTGAAAGTTAATTAATTTTAATTCATACATAACAGCAGATATTATCATTTTCTAATTGCGGAAAGATAAATATTTATTATTTTAAAATCAAGTATGAGTCGAACGTGCAAGGGTGAAGAATGCACTGCTACGTCAGGGGAAAATTGCATTCCGAATCACTCGTGGACATCCCCGCGATCAATGAAATTGCGCTGGACGATTTTCATCACGAGAAACAATTCTACTCGACCGTATAATTAAGAAAGTACACATTACACGTTGTCCGCTTTTATCTCTTTGCTACTTTGGTCGTTATATTGATTTACGATAAATATAAAAGCTCGATAATGATTATATTTAAGCTTGATGAATGAACGGCAGATATTAATTATTCTAAAAACGTACGATCGAATAACGAGATAATCGAATAACGAGATGATTTTTGCACAAGAATTCTTGCGTGAGAAAATAAAATTGTCGTCAGATACTTGATGACTAATTCGGAGATAAGAAAAAGAATATATTTGCACTGTAAAGAAAAAGAACCTACAATGTAAAGTAATTAATTCTTAATTTAAAAGTGAATTCTATTTAAAAAAATCAATTTGCATGATATAATAAAAAAGTAAATTACAATTTTAAATTATAATTAAACTAAAAGAGAAATTTAATATAATCGAAGAAGTAAAAATTTTATTTTTAAATACTTATGTTCGGATATGGCAGAAATGCGAGTTTTTAAGGACACCCAATATATACAATAGGCTTTTCAGTCTCCGAAAGAGGAAATACGACCTAGAACGTTTCTTTCTTTTTTTTCACAAAGCGATCTTACCGGGAAACCGCGCCTACGTGTGTGTGTGTGTGTGTGTATATATATATATATATATATATATATATATATATATATATATATATATTTCCTCCTTTTCACTTCGCTCTTCCTCTTTTAACTCGCATAGTATATAAATGTGTAACTAACTCGTATCTAGGACACCTGCGGCATTTTCATCGTGTTCAACACCCAATATGCCTCCCCTAATACTTGCTCTCACGCTTTCCTAATCTAAACACACGAATAATCGATTTTTAACCGCTCGAGCCGCGTTTACTTAATATACAAATTACCCCACGATTCTATACGTACTCTACGTTTGAAATTCGTATGATTTTAGATATTTAAAAAGATTTTAATGTGTATTATTCAACACACGCGCTGTAAAATTATTTGGAAATAAAATTTATTTCTCAATTAAGTCGTCGTTAAATACTCGGTTAAATAGATCGGGCGATGCTTGACTAATATATACGAAATGACTCATCTTTGCTATCTCTAGAGAGTGAATTTCTCCGCGAAATAGAAATAGATCGCAATGGTCCAACGCTGGCCAGTAGAGGTAATGTCAGTTCCGGTTTAAATTCGAGTTTAGCCGGCTCTTTAATCATTAAAACAACGTCCATGACTGAAGAAGATGCGAACTCTTGGATTCTGTCGCAGGTAACAAATTTATGGAAATTGGAAAGGAAACGCGAATCTTTTGGCGAGAAAAATTAACGCTTTCGAGCCACCATCATTAAATCGGAATTGACCGATTCAAAAGATTTAGAAAAAGAACTCTATAATTATCTCTATCGGTCACTATTGGATCCTGAATTTTATTAAAAAATTAAATCCTTTTTTCTTCCTTCTTCGATTCTTTTCACTATATTTTTAATATATTTTCAATTCTTTTTCTCTCAATAAATGAAGACACTGACAAGTGAAAGGATTGATATGGCTGGTTGATAATAAGAGAATGGACCGCATCTCTGCGCATAATGCTATATTGCTGACTTATGCAACCATCACGTTTCCGGTTTGCTTAGCGAAGCACGGAGAACGCACGTTTTCCTCTATACGTTATTGTATGTATCACAGGAGTGCGTACGAGTTGTAAACCAACGATGAATTGTAAGTCGCGTGCGGGTCAGAAAGGAAAACATTGTGATACGCGCCGGTTATAGATTGTTTCACGAATTACTGAAAGCATCAACGAAATCGACGCAAAAAAAAAGTAAAAAACAAAAAAGTAAAAATTCTACCCCAAATTATATAAAGTTAATTCTTAAGTAACCGAGATAAAATTTCCCATGAAAGATATTCTTGAATGTTGAAAAATCTTAAAGCCTCGATTAAGCCATCGCATCGCTTAATAATGGGTTTGTTTCTCCGCCTCGATAGATTATCCTCACTTATCACTATGAATCACCGTGTACATATGGCGCGTGTGCTTGGCTTGCTTTTAATTATAGACCGGAGCCCTTCTCCTTTCCTTAGCGTCCACCCTCGACACCGCGAAATTGGAAAGGCGACTTCTCTCTCTCGACTACCTATCTAGGCTTGTTTCTGCTACTCATTCGATTGAGGGTAAGAACAAAACTCGAGGAAAGAGTTCGAGAGGAGCTCTACATCAGTCTATGCTGTCAAAGTGCCAACGTCAACTAAATTCTAAAGTAATACGAAGCACACTTAATAAAGTATGTAGGTACTATGTAGCTATTAAAGTTACGTGCAAAGTTTGCTAGTCTTACTTAATTTTCGAGTTTCCGTCAAACAACTGAAAAATAATGTTTCGAATTTTCTATTCAATTCAAAATAAAATTAATTTTTGCTGTGACTTTTTACATATACGCTTTTTACATATCTAATTTTTTATAGCTATATTTTATTATATATTCAAAAATTATATATTTATTTTTAAATATATAATAAAATGTAATATAGAATAAACTAATATATTATTAGAAGATTTAATTATTTTATATATTTTTAATATCTCTGTGTATATACGTGTGTGTACATCAAGTTTCATTTATAATCTTTGACACGAATAAATTCACTGTATTAAAAGCAACAAGGATACATGAATACTTGTAATTTTTGATTCGTCACTATTTATTACGAGAGATTGAATAGTAGATATTTGAATAGAAAAAGGAGGAGAGAAAACGATCGAGACAAAACAAGGTGAGAGGGGAGAAATGCGTGTTTTATGGATTCTAAGTGCATCTCGCTAAGAAAACGAGCCACGTCACATCCGGATGTATAGATCGAACGCGCAGTTGAGTTACATTTCTCTCTCTCTCTCTCTCTCCCTTCTATCCCCTTTCCATTTCTCTTTTTTCTCGAATAGAGTGATACCTCTTCGTGTTCTCAATTTGCATAATCCTGAGTCAACGTGTGATGCTCTTCCTCAAAGGATACAAATTGAAGGATTGGCTCCAAGAATGGAGTTCTTATAATGTTATGGGACAGAAAGCTATTCATCTTGTTTATTCCATGTTTCCTAACATTTTGTTAAATGTTGTAGCAGTAAAAAATAGTTGAATTCTTTAAAATATTTTCGGTTAATAGAAAAAAATCGCGAGAAATATAGTAAATACTTTTTCAAATTTAAAATGTAAATATAATTTGTATGTACCTACACGTATAATGCCAATTGTATTTTAATTCTTATTAAACACTAAATTGTTTAAAGTAATATTGTATTGTATATGCTATACTAAACCATCTTCCTTTCAGAGGACACTAAAATATTATTAGCAAAAGTTAACATCTGTTGAAAGCACAATATGGACAGTTTAGAATTTTTCCTATGTGAAAAACTCAAACAAAGTATCGTATTCGCTAGGAGAAAAAACAATAAATAGTTGACGTAATTTACGAGCAAGGATGTAACGAGACGTTATAACGAATGACTTTTAATTAACCGCGCGCGAATCCCTAAAGTCCCTAGAGAAACCAGACATTTAATCGCGGATATAAAACGCGCGTGTCAAAGGTTACGCGAAATGCGATTCCAAGCGAATCCTTTTGCCGTAGCACTTCCGTAAAATGCCAATCTGAGATCCAAGCGATCGTTTTTCTCAGACTCAAGCGTTTATTTTATAGTACAATATTATTGCAAAATACGATTATTATTATATTTATATGATAACGCAAATTTCTAATTGACAATATTTACATAACTATATTATATATTATAACGAAAAAAATATTGTGTTAAGTCACAGAATAGTAAAACGTATAGTTTCAAAGATACATGGCTTCAAAAATTTATTATTCCGAAATAAATTGTCGATATCAAGATGTTTCAGTGTATTGTGATATATTTAAATTTGAAATCATTGATTGTAAAGAAATGAAAAAAGTTTGAAAACCGATTTTAGTCTCTGTATATTAAATTAATTAAAATATTAATTAAACTTGAAATTTTAAAAGAAATAAAATGTAAATAAATTAATAGATAACTATCTTAATTAGAGACGTACTTATTCGTACTTGATATTTTTCGAGGAAAAAATCGAAATGTGCCGCAAGATGCAATTTGGTTTATTTTTTCCGTGCGTTATTCTAACCGAGGAAGAGCGCGGACGGTGATCTATGGTGCATCGTATGTGCGGTTGCACTGATTTTATCTGCATATCCTAAGCGTCGAGAGCTTGTGTAAGCTCTCTATTTTTAAAGGACGGTTAGTTCTTAAATTTGCTTCTCCGAATAAGCTCCGCGCATCAAATACGATCTTTCGAATACGAATTTTCGAGTCGATTCGGCTTTCATCTACAATGTGAGCTTTTCACCTCTCATATAATTAATGAGCAAGCGCAATCAGCATTCTCTCGAATTTGATTATAAAGGGCATTTAATGATCGGTTATTAATATTTTGTTCATGTAAGAATATAAAAACTTATCCATATGTTGCAACAATAAAACAGATAAAATACATTTCTATTATGCAATTAATTTGAAATTTAATCGTAATCGTTGTTACTATATTTGACAAATATAGATAACATACAATATTAATTAATTGAGCCATCTTTTTAATGTTGTATAAATGTTAATATGTTTTATAATATCGACATATGTTTTATATCTTTTCCGGTTGATATATAATATTTAATTTCAAAGAGTATATATACACACTCACCATTTGTTGGACGCTTTTCGGTTTCCGGTTTACGTCGATCACTTTTTGATTAGCTGTAACAAGAGAGATAATCGTGAATTAAATTAGAAAGCATTTTTTTTTTTCTTTATTTAACCGACTAAAGAACATCCCGACGAATTGTATACGGCACGCACATACAGCACATGACTCTCGTATTCTATGCGGTAAGAACTTTACTGCCAATTTGTGCGTTATGTTATGAATAACTGTCGAATGCCATAAACGATTCGGTACTGTTAAGCGAATCGCCGATTTAGCGACTCGTTAGCTAGCGTCGATCGACCGACCAGTTTCATGCATCGAACTTTATTAATAAAATGTACCGCAACTAAATCTTTTATTTATTTCATATATAAACATTTTTCTAATTTTTTTCTATCGAGACAATAAATTAAAAATACATGAATTTTAAATTATAATATTTATGAACATGGAATTTAGTTTGCAAATTCGCAAACACACATTCTTTTAAATTACTATATTACTATATTAATTTTTTTATATATATCTGGACAAATCTGGATCTTTAAAAGAGAGAAAGACGAGGGGACACTTACTAACTGCCTCCACCAAGTCGGCCAAAAGGACACCGTCGCAGAAATCAGCCTGAAGATCGGTCACTCTCCTCTTGCAACCTCCTCGTTCCAAATAATAATTCGCCCAATCTGTATAGATCTGAAACAAATTAAAAGTATTATTTTAAATAAAGTAGGAATAAATTATTTCATAAACATGCACGCATATATGTACTATATAAATAAATAAAATTAATGATATTTCTCAAATTAGCACATTTTTTCCTCTCATATTTTCAAAAAATATATCTAAGAGAATCGGAGATAGAGAAAGAAAATCTATTTTTATATTTAAAAAAATAGTATTTTATAATGTTAAAAATAATTATATCTATTTCTATATATAATTATTATGTTCATATTAGACTTATTTCCTTCATCGTCTTCATAAAGAGAAACACACAAAGTAAATTGAATTGAAGTTATTCATCACAATACTACTATGCGGAAAATTGCAATGTGCCCTTAATTATTGCGTCCTGTTTCATGGCAATGATTATGTTTGATCGATTGGCTCTCAGGATCAGCTCGGTGAATTAAAGGCAATCGCGAAAGAGAAAGAAAGAGAATAATAAAGAACAGTTCGTAAAGAGCAAACATATTGTAGACTTCAATGGTCGATAGATCGATTTCATTATTTCTCCGTGCAATACAATTGCACGCCAATTATTACTTGTCTGTTATACTTGTTCAAGCTCTACAAACGTTTACATTGTAAAAATAATAAATAATTACACAAAATTTTGTGCGCACAAATATTTTGCAACGCAATTTTTTATTTCTCACATTGAAAATTCCTTGAAATTAATTTTACAGTAATGCCATTCTGTTAAAATACGGCACGCACATACGTATTGAATTTTATGAATAAAAATAAAAATTTTCTTTTATATAAAAAAAAAAAAAAAAAAAATAAAATAAAATTTTTGCAATTAATAATTGAGTTTCTTTCTTCACTTTTAAAAGAATCTTTGAATAAATATTTCTATTATGTTGAGTTAGTCAAACTTGTGTAAATTGTACGGTTGACTCTGTGCTACTCGAAATAATAGAAGTAAAGTGAAGAATGCCAATTGGCGGGATAGGAATCTTTCCACGTCGAAGAATCTTCTCGCGAGATGTTTCCTTATTCGCTTCTCGCCTTTCTGGCATGTCTGTCTCGCCTTTAATCCATACATATGTGCATAAATATTAACTCTGCGCCGAGCCCTAATTAAGCTCTTCGATTTTTTGTATCTCAAAAATTTCTTTGTGATGATATTTAATATAACAAATTGAATGCAATTAACATTTTTGAAAAAACTCTGGTAAGAAAATTATAAATCTCCAGAGAAAAAAGTATAATATTAATATAATTTTATAAATATTGAAAAAATTCCAATAAATGTTACAGATAAAATAAAATAATATTATAAATATAACTAAACTAAAAAATTATATATTATATAAGCAAATAATTTTTCTTAAATTTTAATAAAGAAAATTCCAATGAGCTACGGAAAAATAAAGAAAAAATAAAAAAATTTTCAATAAAAAATATGTTTAAAGAGTCGCGTATGTATGACATAAAGAAATTCTACATCTCGTGCATAATTGTTTCAATCTGTTAAGAGATGATAGCACAGAAAAGTACATTAAACAAGCACTTATGAGCAAAATGCACTTTGACATAACATGTTACATCGTTATCGCAATTTATCTTATATTATTAAGATGAAGAATGTGTTTAAGTTTGTTACCGAAACATTCCTTTTTCTTTATTTCAATGCAATGAATTATAATTTAAATTCCCGCATCTTTATATTTCTAATTAAATATATAGAATTTAATTAAGCAACATCTTCTTCATAAATATCTACAATTAGAACAATTCCGATTATTATATCATTTAATTACCTATATTCATCTTATAGATCGCGTCAGACAATCGGATGATAAATAATCGATGCAAAATTTTAATTAGTGTAGTTGTTAATAACGTTTCAACTGGAATTTCAACGAGAAAAATGTACATACATACATACATACACACTCGTGTAATATATGACAGGTATCCGTATTCAATAAAATCGACTGCAATTGATTGTCGATTCTTTTCTCATCGTTTTCTTGTTCAGCAAAAACAACACGTCAGGCAATGCATTTTCATCATATACGTAGCGATTCATATATGTCACATCACAGGTGTTATCTCCTACTATTTGCAACAACCCTGATGGCATGTATACTCGTATGTATACTCGTATGTATACTTACGTTTATTAACACGCGATATCCTTTCTCCCCGTTTATCTTCTCTCTGTTTCTTTCACCCGCTATTTTATAGTGCCGCAGGTGCACGATTGTCACTATGAGTGTTATTTATTTGTCGGATATTTGAACGGATGGCAAAGAGAGAGAAAAAAGAAGAGAACGAGAAAAGAGAGGAAGAAAACGAGAGTGAAATGATACGTTGATAAATTTGTTGGCAAGTTCAAAAATCAAATCAATATATTATTTCAGACGTTTACATTCCGTCGAGCGCATACATTTTGAATTTGATTCGCGTTACATCGTTAATTAGCTATCTCCAATAATTATTTGAACAATTTTTGCGCGAGAAATCTTTTTTGTTGAAATTGTATTTATCCGTATTTTCATAAGTGAACATCGGGGGACATAAATCACGCCAGGAAGCATGAATTGTCCCGACGCGTTTACCATGCTGGCGAAGCGCCAGGCTTTTCAGCGCGTGCAAGCGTGCGAGCAAACGACTCTCGAGAGTCTGTCCGAAGAGGCAGAGAAAGAGAGAGAACACACTGGACGCTGGAAGGCACAAGGAAAGACAAACGTGGTGCATGACGAGAAAGAGAGGAAGACAGGAGCTACAGAGCGAGGAGAGGAGAGAGTTAGTCATCGCGTACTATTTTTAAGCGTGCAAAGAGACGAACGGAAGGGAAGCGGGCGAAGGCTCGCTTCATGATTTCAGGTCGCCATTATTACGGCGGCCCCACGATGATGGGGTCGTCGCTTCTCTCAATCTTTTCGCGCTTTTCCGATTAAATCCCGCAGGACTTTCCCGCGATATTTCAGAGAGAGAAAGAGGCAGAAGTAAGATATCGAAACGCATATATTAAAGTATATATCTCACTGATTGCGAGATAAAAGATACATTTTATTTAATATAGTTTATTATTTGCGGAGATGATAATAATAATAGATATATGTATAAAACAATAATTAGAGAAAAGTGTAAATTATACTTCTTTCGTTGAAAATATTTAAAATTTTAAACATTTAAATATAACCCATTTATTTTATCTTGCGTCTGTTTGCGTTATACCTTATATTGTTAGAGTTACATTCCAGAGTTCCGCAAATTTAACCCGTAAAAGAATCTGATTTTTTTTCTTTTTTATTTCATTCTACCTGTCTGATCCAAGAGATGAACTTGCGACTTGTCCCGCCCGATACTCACATAAGAAGAGTGTTTATAAAAGCTTTATCTGCCATACTTATATACACTGATTGTGAGTGGACGAATGGAAGTATAAATTTAGTAACGTGATACTAGTGTCCAATCAAAACTTTATCACTTCATTACATTAAAGACACCTCTCTCTCTCTTCCCATGATTAAAAATGAATTTGTAAAGAGGACAGAAATACTTGGAAGCATAAATTATCGCATAAAGATTCGAGACGTCTGTTGGGGCGAAAGAGAGATATTACGAGCAAAAAGGAGCAAGTTTTTACCTGCACGATATTACGCGTGGAATCGGCCTTAATATCGTCGACGGAACCGCGCACGGATCTCGGCGCTCTGATACACGCCATGACGCCGCCGGTGGTCAACGTGATGCTCCAGCGTCATTCGAATGCACTCTGCGATTATCTCTCGCGAATCGTAATTGTACTCTGCACTTTGCACCGAATTGCCGCACAATAACTCATAATTGCGATCGTGCTCTAATCGCACTACAATTATAATTGCAATCCTTGACACATCTCTGACCTCGTGGATTTTCACTTTTGTCTCTTTCGAAAAACGTTTCTGAAATTGCTACAACACGCACGTTGATTTTATTTTTCTTCTTTTTCTAAAATGCTTTATTTTAGTTTTCTACGACATTTAAATTAATAATATATATGGTATCGAGATGTTGTATAACAATATTAAGATATTTATCGGAATCTCAACAAGTTTGATATTCATTTCATTCATACTACTCAATATTGTTAAAAAAATCGTCTCGCTATGCAAAATTTCTTTATCCACTTTATATATTTTATCGAAATTGTTATATTGTAATTGAAATGTTCGATTTGCCAATCAAGAGAGAACCGTTCTCGTTCTGAATCGATCTCCAGAACAACGTGACGATTTGCACATCGCGACTCATTGTAAGAGAAACATGAAGAAGCGCCTCGACACCACGACGCATCGGACGTAACTGAATACGCGAGCGACGAAGCGCACGTTTCTCTATTCGTAGGTATACAATCTCTCGTGCCTTCTCCTCCTTCTCATTTTCTCCCTCCTTCTCGTCATCTCTTTCATCTCCCCCTCCTTTTCCTGTTTTGCCACTCTCTCTCTCTATCTATATATCTGTATCTCTATTTACAAAAGTTCACCTATAGAATATCAACAAGTTACGTCCTTGCATTTGATACAATTGTGTTTTCAAATTTCGGAGTAGTTATGGAAACTTCAAGTTTATTATAAATTTTGAAATGTATAATGTTCGAAATACTATCATATATTTTCTAATAATGTATGTATCTAGTATTGAATAAAATAATTACATTTCTCTTTCACTTATTTAATTATTATTATTAAAATTAATTTATACGTTATATAAATTAAATTTTGTTACAATGTTGGAAACTATGTTAAATTTGTTCAAATCAAATTTTAATTTTCACCTAACCTAACGAATTTTTAATTTTAATCAATCTAATTAAAATCAAATCAATTTTTATTAATCATAAATATAATTTCAAGTTAATGTCAAAGTCATATATCAAAATAATATTGGATTTAAAAAGAATTATAAATTACATATATTAATTTTACATACACACATACACAATTTGTATAATAAAATTATGTTAATCTTTT